ATACAGAAGAAGAAGGTGATGATGAGTTTGCTGAAACCGATGATGACGATTTGGCGGAAGAAGACGGTGATGGTGATGAAGTAATAGAGGAAGATGAATCTGATTGAATTTCATGCATTGCATTTAGTGAATGTTTGTTATTATCGAACTTTTAGAACACAGTAATAATTTATGCTAAGAAACTCATCGACCCATAGTGTTCCCTCCTTGGTCGATGAGTTTCTTAGCATAAATTTGATTATACGACGGTTTTACGACGACTCAATTTTACGACGGTTTTACGACGATTTGTCTAAACCCTAAACCCTAAGTCTAGGGTTTAATGCCCTGAATGAATAGGGTTTAGACATTACGACGTCTTTACGACGAACCATCGTAATGTCATCGTAACGTTACGACGGTTTTACGACGAGTACACTAGTTCGTCGTAAAACCGTCGTAATGTTGAAATCCAAGAATTTGAATCTTTTATATCTTATTGGTTGTAAGGTATTTCACAATTGTTTTTGATTGGTTATCTTATTTTATATGAAATGCTATCAATCTGATCAAAATTAAAAATTTGAAAAAAAACATACATATTTATAAGGTCGTGCATGTTTTCGTAAATGTTAAGTGAAAGGTTATATATTTGATTACGGAATTTCATTTTTTACTATCTCATGTCATAAATTCATCATACATGCAAAGTTGTAAACCTTTTATGATATGTTAGGATACAATAACCTCTGCATTTTTCTTTATGCAATATCCCATTTATAAGATTTAGGGTTTACTCACTTTTTTAAAAAACATCGTAAAACCGTCGTAATATAATCGTAACTATACGACGGTCGAACGACGATTAAACCCAAAATCGTCGTACAACCGTCGTAACGTTTGAACCGGATAGGCTCTTGATCCGAGGTACGAGGTTATTAAAGTTTAGACGTTACGACGGTTTTACGACGATTTTGGACTACTCGTCGTAAAACCGTCGTAAAGTTACGACGACTTCACGACGATGACATCACGACACGTGTCGTGTCATGCAGTGGACCGACTCTTATACAACCAAATCGTCGTAAAACCGTCGTAATGTTACGACGGTTTTACGACGATCACAAAATCTATATAAGGGACGCGAGTCCTCCCCATTTCGTCGCTCATTCCTCTCTTCTCCCCTCTCTCTCTACAATACTTTCTCTCTCTAAAAAAATCACTCCTTCTCTCCCTGCTCTCCAGCCATTACTTGTAAGTTTTTTTTTCTAAATTAATTTCATTACATATTCTTTTAGATTTAAGTTCGGAATTTAGATTTAGGTTCGGAATTTAGATTTAGGTTCGGAATTTAGATTTATCCGGATTTTGTTAATTTTAATAAAATTAGTAACAAATTTTTTTTTTCCTTTTAATAGATTCTGTCGATATGGCTCCTCGGAAAAAGAGATTTCACTACCGACAGCTCTTCGATTCTGACGATTCGGTTCCGTCTACCTCGGCGACCGGCTCAGCCATCCCGGAGTCCTCGGGAACACAACAGACGGTTTCCCAACCGGTCGTTGTTCCGCAGCCACCACCGCCTCCACCACAACCAGTCGAACCAGCGGCTCCCGCACAGGCCGAGCCTGATCACGATGATCCTATCCCGCCTATACCGTATGCCCAGTATACGGTACACGATCTTCAGGCGCAACCCGGTCGTGGGAGCATGAACAAACTCGACCCGGATCGAGCCCCCGGCACCTATTGGTACGTAAATTTTCCCAACAATATTTTTAAATTAATTAATTTTTCGTCTAATATATTTGATATTAATTAACTATTTATTTTTTTATTTGACTAGGTTTACGACCGACAATGCAGTCGGTCGTAACGTTTCGGATATCATCAAGGGGTTTTTCGTACAACCCCATACCAGCTACAAGAAGCTGGATCGGGCCACACTTGACACTTGGTTCAAGTGTTTTGCGGTAAGTACTTTCCTTTAATTTTATTTTTAAATTTTATCTTTTTACAATAATTACTAACTTCTTTTTTTTCCTAGCAAAACTGGCATTGGGAACCATCCGCACACGGACGTGTGGAGACGGCCTTCAAGGAGAAGGTCAAATTCCGCCTCAACAACACCGTTTCCGACTGGAAACGGAAGTGGGAGGACGAGGGCGACAAGGCCAAGCCGCCGCCTATGTCCAAGTTCGTCTGGCAGGGCCTTGTCCAGTTCTGGTCGGATCCAACCAACCAGACTACCGCCGCCAAGTGTTCCGTATCTAGGTAAGTCGTAGTTAATTTCATTAATATTTACATTATTTTTTTCTTTTTTTAATAGATTCTAATCAAAATATTTTTCAGGAACGCTACTGACGATGCGGGAAATAAGAAGAACGTCCCGCACACTTCCGGCCAGATTCCTTTTGCCGGAAGATGGCTTATGATGGTAAGCACATTGAAAAATCTTAAATTTTTTTTCTCAACTAATAATTAAACTCTTATTTCTTGATACTAATTAATTTTTTCTTTTTTATTTTGTAGGTCGAAGATAACGGAGGAGAACTTCCTCCGATGACGAAGGTTTTCGCCGAGACGCATAAAAAGCGTAACGGCGAATTCACGGATCCTCGGGCGGAGGAGATCTACAACGCCGCATGTGCGGCGATCGAGGAGCGACAGACGCAGCTGACTCAGCAGGCACGTCAAACTTCTGACGGAGGTAGCTCGGTCCAATCGACCCCGGCGCTGACGGTCGCGGAGATGGACCAGATCTTCGAAGAGGTACGTAATTAATTATGAATACTTTTTTTAATTAATGTAACTTTAGTTTTAAATTAATTATATTCCTAACCATAATGTTTTTATATGTTTGTAGGTTGCCCCAAAGAAAAAGGGGCGGGTATTAGGGATGGGGTCCATCCGTGATACCCCGAGAGCTACGGCGACTGGTCACGTCCGGGCTCCGGCGGATCCGGTTATCCGCCAGGAGATCGATCAGATGCGGAACCAGTACGAGACGACGATCGACCGGTACGAGACGAAGATCGACATGCTCTACGGTCTTTTCGAGATCATGGGAGCCGACAACCCGGTACTCATGGCGCAGCTGGACAAGCTGAAGGCGGATGGGGTTCTCGGAGGATCGTCTGCCGTCGGGTCATCTACTAGGACTCGACCGCCGCCGGTGCAGACGGACGCGGAGATGTTCCGATCTCTCGGGGTCGACCCTCCTACAGCCGGAGCCGGAGATCAGGCGGCGGGACCATCAAACCGAAGACCCGGCAAGGAGCACGTCCAAGACGATGTCCAGGAGGCCGGTGACGGGATCGACGATATACATTTAGATTTAGATGACCTGTAGGGTTTTTTTTGTAAATTAAAATTTTTCAAATTGTAAATTATTTTTTTTATTTAAATTTTAATTCGAATTATTTTTTTTAAAAAATTTTCAATTAATTTTTTTTTATTTTTCATATATATAAATCGTCGTATAATCGTCGTAATAGATTTATTCAAACCGTCGTAATGTCGTCGTACATATTACGACAACTTTACGACTATAATATACGACGACAAATACGACGATTATACGTCCGAGATTTACGACGATTTTACGACGCAATGAAGAAATACTTTACGACTGATTTACGATGATTATTGCGTCGTACATTTTACGACGATCTTACGTCGATCATTAACAACCACTTAACGACGGTTTAGGTGAAGACCAAGTGGACGCAATTCGATGTAAACTCGTCGTAAATTGTACGACGCATTTACGACGATTTTGTTTGCCTCGATGTTACGACGAAACAAAGTCGTCGTATATTATACGACGATTTTACGACGATTTGTCTATTACGACGATGAGTTTACGACGATTTTGAAATCGTCGGTAATCCGTCGTAATGGCCCTATTACGACGAATTACCGACCATTTCGGCCGTCGTAAAATGATGTTTTTCTTGTAGTGATGTACTTATTGGTCACAAAAATATTGTTGAGGTATGTATTTACCGATTTTAATAAGTTAAGGTACTGATTAACCTATCAATATTGTTTGGGTATTTATTGGTACCAGATGATGGTGTTGAGGTACTAATCGGCCTTTTTCCCAACAAAGCTCACAGGTTCAAAGTCTTACAATAAGATTATTTTCTATGAAAAAAGAAAAATTTTCTGCTAAAAACAGAATTAACAATCAAATAAAGTATGAGACATAATCGAGTTGGTATAAAATTTCCAAGTTCTAGCAGCTCCAACAATTAAATTTCTTACTTACAATCTCAAAGATCACTTGTAAGAAAATAAACCATAGACAAAAGAACCTGCAATATATGGTATGTTGAACAGCCGGATATGGGTGCGACATAGATTTGATTGTGTTAGAATCAAAGAAACTTTTGTCGAGATGTGAAGAACGTGAAGAACCTCAAGGGAAAAGAATAAGAAAAAATTGTGGGAATAAAAACGTGGGAGAATATTTGGAAAATGAATATTTGGAAATATTCATTTTGGTGGTTAAACACATGAATCCTAGATTTTTTCAGATTCTCTTAACGATTTAGTAGAATACATTTTCCACATTAAGTAGATCAAAGAAAGATTAGTTGAATACATATTCTAGTAAAATACAGTAGATCAAAGAAAGATTAGTAGAATACATTTTTTTCATAATTTAAAAGTGCTTTTTTTTAAAACTAGAGTGTGGCTAAAGTGTATTTTATGTATAAGGAAAGAAAAAAAAAAAAAAGAGAGCTACAATCGAATGCAAGTTGTTAGACAAGTATTTAAAGAACGAAGTGCATACATTACTATCAATCCAACAACCAACCGTACTATACTATGGGCCCTTACCATGACCAATTTGCACTTATCCACTTTCCCTGTTTTTTTTTTTTTTATTATGATTGACTTGCCATCTTAATTTTAGCTAAATCGAGGTTCTTGTTTTTGCAGATAATCGCACGAAGCATTTAATACACCTCTCTGGCTCGCCCTCTTTCTTATTCGTCAACGTGTTTTTTTTTTTTTTTTTTTGTCAACCTACACCACCTCGCTTATTATAAATAGAGGTTTTGCATGGAGCGCTATACTCACCAGTCCCAGCTCCTTCACTATTTTTTTTGTTGAATATAAACACATCACTCTATAAACAAAACTAGTGTTTTAAGAGCTTACGATGGCTTCTAAAGCTTTGCTTTTCTTAACTCTCATTGTTGCTCTTCTCATAGCCTCTGAGGTAGCAGCCAGGGACATCGCTGAAAAAAGTGGTACGTAAAATTTGATCCTCAAAAGTTGTCACATAAAATCAGTTCATTTTTATAGAATACTTTGACCGGAACAGGCATGTGAGGCTATTTGAATATTCTTGAATGTTGAAACTTTTTTATTATTTATAAATATGGTTAAATTTTTGTCTTGGTCATGGCTATTTTTCTCTTGTTATCATCTAATATGTAGAATTGAATAAACACCTATTCGTTATTGCCGACCTTTTCAAAATATTTCTTCTGTTTTAAGACGGATTCAAAATTATCATTTTGTAAAATACTTCATAAAATAAGTATGAGATACATCTGAATATCATTGAATAGATTCTTAAGAATATTTATTCACGAAAGTTTTGGGTTTGTGAAATAGAGAGAGAAGAAGGAATGCAAACTGAGCAGTATGGAGGGTATCCAGGAGGAGGGTACGGAGGATACCCTGGTGGAGGATATGGTGGAAATCGCGGCGGTAGATATGGTCGCGGTGGTGGATATGGTGGTAGGGGCGGATATGGAGGACGCGGAAGAGGATACTGCCGCTACGGCTGCTGCTACAGAGGTTACTACGGTGGCTGCTCCAGATGCTGTGCTTATGCTGGTGAGGCTGTTCAGACTCAACCAGAGAGTACTGAGCCAGGTCACTAAATTTCATGCATATGGATTCCTCATGCTGCGTTGGTTTTGAAGTATAAGTCTCAAATAAAATGGAACATATAATTATAATATAGTGAAGTACCATGATTTGAAGTTATTACAAAGATAAAAGAGAATGGAACGTTTGCGTCTTTTTTTTGTTGAGTTTTTGTGTAATAATAATCTATGTTCGCGTGATAAAGTATGTTTGATGTATATATGTATCATAATATGGAATATGGGTAACATATAAATATGTAATGCATCCAAAATGCAATTATCATGACCTATTTCATGATCTACATCCCTAGATGATTCATGACCAACAAGTGATTCATGCAAAGGTCTTATTCGTTTAAATAATGATATAGATTCAGGTAAGTTACTGACCACCACCAAGATACTTCCGTAATAAAACCAGAATAAAATATATCTAAGTATTTCACATAATCATTCATGGTTTCAGACACTCAGCCTATTCGCCTAATATGAGACCAGCTTGTTTTCTTTATTTTGTGAAAATCGTCATCGGTTTTTTTTTTTTAATTAGGTCTTACATCGTTTTGCCAGCCACAATAATTATATCTTGACGCATTTATGGTTAAGCAATGGATTAAAGACACATAATGCACTTGCTAGATTTTTTAATAACCTTATTACAAAACATTTGAATCTTCAATATAATCTGAGACGAAATTTGTTATATTTCATTCTATACAGTGAAAAAAAAATCCTTTTGAAGCTACTTTCTCCTCTTAAAGAGCGACTGAAATTGTGACATCGTGAGCTCTTCTTCCGTCACCTTCTGGCAGCATCTGCGTCGTATCTTCGATTTTTCTAACCCAGGCCCTTCCTTCTTCATGGGGAAGAAAAAACCCCCTTTAAAATCCTCAACAAAAAAGCCCCTTCCTAAAAATCCGTCTCCGCCCAAATGTTCTGTCAGATCTTCCTGACCCTCTAAATTCTATGATGGCCGCTTTGTCTGACCCCTCCCCTGAGGACGTGTCGACTGTCAGTTTTCCGCCAGATGAAATTGCGCTAATCAAGGATCCATCTAGCGAGTTGGAGCCCCTAGCTGTGGAATTGGATTCTGGATCTGATTCTCACCCCAGTGTTGCTCCTGTGATCGCTGTCGCCACAGCTGATCCAGATCCAACTATCGAAAAAGTCAAGACGATGTTGTGGAAAGTGAATCTGTTGTAACAAAGCCTACTGAGTCCAGCCCTGATGTAGCTGAACCAGAAAATACTTTTAAATCAGCTGCTCCGGCAGAGGATTCCTGGTGTTCCTATCAGATTATTGTAAATATCTAGTCTCATGTACGTATTTTGGTTTAGTAAGGTTTAGTTGTATATACTATAGATTCCGGTTTGTCCCGGTTAGATCAATCTGTATATAAGCTCACTTTTGAGCATTTATCAATCTAACAGAAAATTTCCCAAAATATCATCTCCTTCATCTCTCTCGACACTTCCATTTTCGTTCAAGCTCGATTCCTCATTTTCTGTTCATTCGATTATTGATTTCAGTTCAGAGCATTGAGCTCAAGCTCAATCGATCTACCTTTTATCCTTCTTCGGTGTTTGCTATTTCGGTGTTTCTCTGTCACGATGGTGGTCACGCTTTGTTCACGACGTCGATCGGCTGGATCTGTTCGCGCCGGGAGCTCGCTCTCTCTTCCTGAAGCTTTGATTACTCCACCGACTCTTCTGATGAACCCAGATAGCGTTCACTCACCTCTTTTCCTTCATAGTGCAGATCACCCAGGGATGTCGATTGTCTCTGTTCAGCTGGATGGTTCGAACTACAACCAGTGGTGCTCCGCTATAAAGATCGCTCTCGATGCGAAGAACAAGCTTGCTTTCATCGATGGATTTCTTCCCGTCCAGATGAAGGTAACTCTCTATTTCGTATCTGGTCTAGGTGTAACAGCATGGTTAAGTTCTGGATTTTGAACACGGTCTCTAGGCAGATCTATGGTTGTATACTATCTTTTGATGATGCTGCTCAGATTTGGGAAGATCTGCACGATCGTTTTCTTACACTACAAGAAATGTGGGTATTAATAGCGGCCGTTCAATGCTATCTATCACATAACATAGCGTTTCCTTAAACGCTCTGACAGCGCCCGTCATTGTAGGTCAGACACTTTAGATAGCGGACTTGACGGATGCTATAGTTAATTAAACGACAATATCGTTTATTGCGCTGCTATTATTATTATTTATAATAGCGTGTAATAATTGTTATGATTTGGTTGTATCTATACTAATTGTTTTACAACAATAACATATATTTTTGTATTATTAAATTATTTTATAATGATCCAAAAATATATTTAAATAATTGTTTTATTAATTATTTATAAATATAATTAAATTGGTATTATAAAAAAATTTCCATAATTTATTATATTATATGAAACCAAGATACAAAATATCATATTACAGAATAAAAATACATGATTAAAAGATAATTTGATACAATTTCTGCATCTAAGCTTGTGAATTATGAAACTTTTGTCTTGCTGGTTCCATGATCTTCAACGAAAGGAGCGTGAGAAACCTCGTTTACACATTCAGGCCAAGAAATTCAAATTTTTTTGCCATATTGTTTCCTTGACTTTGTCGAGCTGTTTGTGACAAAAATTCAACCTCTTTCCCTGTAAAGTAAAAAAGCTTTGCATTTGCCATCATAAACTGGTCTACCACATCGAGAGATAACAGTATTAATAACTCGTATTTGTAAAATTAAGCTAGAAAAGAGAGCATTAGCTAGAGACTGAACTAATATCATACCTTAGGCATCATGTCAACATTATAGTCTCTGCTATAGCCTAAATGAGCAGGAGCCTTTTCTTCTTCCCTAAACTTGTTCCACAGCTGTAAAACAAAAAGCAACATCAATAACGCAAGCTAATGATAAAAATTACCACACACAAAAAAAAAAGAAATCTTAATAGAAACATCAATGAGAAACTGACCTGATTGAGATTAAGCGATGTTGACTCTCCACCGTAGTAGTCATTCCTGTCCATGTCAAGTACCTATTTGAAGTATGCACAAAACCACATCATTAGTCGATCAATTTGATGATTACTTGGAACAAACTAGATTACTGATTGAAGATATAGAGTGGAGAAAGGCCTCTCCTTATATATTAACATAAACTAAGCTGAATTAATCTGTTAACATCCAAATGATTCTGTCAAAGTGACGCAAACATAACAGTTCAAGCTTCAAACTTTAGAAATTCTCGATATCAAAGATGTTTGCTCACTTAAATTTAAAGGAATCTCCACTAATGTTTTCAAAAAAATCAATATTGGAGAATAAAACCGAAGAAACACTGGTGATTTCTCGCGGAAATCTGAGAACTGACGAGGAGGAAAACGAAAAAGATGGAGAAGAAGAGACAATCAATTTCTCTGTATTACATTAAAACCAGACTTTAAAAAAGCTATGTAACTGAATAATCTCACCTTGAGATCCGGTTCATGGAGGATAATCTTCGCGTTATCAAAGCAGCCAAGGAACTTATCAGAATAACCAGAAGAATGTCATCAACATCTCCGGTGAAGAAGACGACGAAGACAACAAAAATTCTGCGAGCGTTCTCCGATCTGTTCGGATTGGATTCGATAGGTATGAAGAAGAGCTTGTCGAACACGAATCCTCCTCCGCCGCTACTCTGATGGAAAAGATGGAAAACTAGGTTAGAGACAAAGACAGCTCACGGGAAAAGAAGAAGAGATAGAGAAAAAAAATAAAAGTTTCTTGTCCATTCGATTAACCTTAATCAACGGTGGATATCAAAAAGGGGTTGATCCTCACCACTTTAGATTTAAAAATTTTGGATTTAGAGTTTAAGATTTAGGAACAAATAATTATATACCTTAAATCAAAAACTTATTAATCCATAAAAGTGTATTATAATTATCTTGTTAGAAACATTAAAATTTGATATTCAAACCCTTTATCCTATAGGGTAATAAGTTTGAGGTTTAGGGTTTGTGTTTGGGATTTAGAGTTTAGAATTTTTTTTAAATGATTACCTAAACTTTTTGAAAACTATATCCATAAATGAAAAAATGTTTATTATATGTCTATTGTTAATAACTAAAATTGTATATTTCAAACTATATACTTTTGTACCCTAAACCCTAAACCCTATGTTTTAAACTCTAGTTCAAATATTCACAAATTTTTACTTCTTATATCTGTGTTTTGTAACAAATTAAATCAATAATTTGTTAAAATGTTTTTTTTTAATTTATATATATACAAAATCATATCAAATCTCTAGACCCTAAATCATATATCTTTATACCCTAAACCCCAAATCATATCATCTATACTCTAATTAAAGATTATGACTTTTTTTCTTTTTATTTTGTAAATTATAATTCTTAGTTATGCATTGATAATTTTTTTTCTTAATTAGTTTTGGACAGCAGTAACAAATTTAGAGATTGATAAGACAAAAAAAGAACAATTACTATTGAATTCGTAACAATTATTATTGATAACATAGCTTTGTTTTATTGAATTATTAAGACACTAAATCACTGATCTACTACTTATTCGGATTTTCAATGATACATTTGAAGCCAAATCCTTAAGGAACTTTGCTGATCTGGTGATTGGCGATTTAATGGCCTTCAAACTATACAGTACAAGCTCAACTTCATCCAATGATGTCCTAGCTTTGAATTGCAATACCACTTTCAAATTTCAATTCAATTCTTCTTCTTCAACGAGAACATTCCATCTCTCTCCTCAGCTTTCCTTTACTCTGCATAAAATCATCCTGTGAATCAGATTACATATAACAATCCTAAAATCACAATCGAATTTGTGAAAAAGAGGGTTTAACAAATCATGATCTTGCTTGAAGTTACTTTTGTTCGTATCTGAGACTGAAAGAATATTCAGAAACTGAAACCTGATTAGATTAGCTTTTCTATCTGAGATTGAGACAAAACACAGGAACACGAGGTCCTTGTACAGTTACAGTTTCAGATTTAATTTTCCCGTCCTGTTTTCAATATCAATCCCATAAACACCAATCAAACCAAATACACAAGACAACTACAAGAATCAGAGTCGTCATTTTTACTAGACTGCTTCATCATAATGACCAGTCACAACACCAGCTTTTGAAAACAAAGAATATATCAAAAGAAAACTGATACCCGTAAGCAACTAACCACGTTAACGAATTCTTGAGGCACCGAGTCGGTTAAG